TTGAGACGATGCTTCCCAGGTAGGTGAAGGAGGTTGTTTCTTTCAGGTTCTTCCCATTTATGCTTATTGTGGTCTGTTGGTGTTGTTGATGTTGGCTAGGAATCTTCATCATCTCTGTTTTATCTATGTTCACGTGAAGTCCTATCTTTGATGCTTCTTCTGCCAACTTGTTACTTTTCACTTGCATATCTTCCAGTTTATGGGAAATCAGACATATATCATCGGCGAAATCCAGATCCTCCAAGTCTTTTGTGTCAGTCCATTTTATGCCTGTTCCCTCGTTGGTTGCCGTTGTCTGTCGCATTATCCAATCAATTGCAATCAGGAAGATCATTGGTGATAGTAGACAGCCTTGCCTCACTCCCGTCCTCACTTCGAAGGCTTCCGTAAGTTTCCCGTTGTGGATTACTTGGCATGCAGCATTGTCGTATAACTGTTGGATGAGGTGTATAATTGTCGATGGGACCCCGTAGTAGCGAAGTAGTTTCCAAATGACCTCTCGATCGACGCTGTCGAAGGCCTTTTCAAAGTCGATGAAGTTGAGATAGAGAGGTGACTGCCATTCCAAGCTTTGTTCAATGATGATCCGTAGAGTGGCGATTTGATCAATACATGATTTGTTTCTCCTGAATCCAGCCTGTTCCGGACGAAGTTTTTCATCTAGGGCTTGTTTGATTCTCTCCAGGATGATGCGACTTAGTATCTTGCTTGGAATGGACAGAAGCATAATTCCACGCCAGTTTTTACATTGACTTAAGTCTCCTTTCTTTGGAAGTTTGAATAAGTAACTGTTCTTCCAATCCTCGGGTACTTTGCCCTCTTTCCACACCTTCTCCAGCAGTGGTGTCATCAAGTCCGCTGTTGTCTCTGGGTCTATTTTCAAAGCCTCTGCTGGGATTCCATCTGGTCCCGGTGTTTTCCCAGCTTTAAGCATCTTGATTGCATTCAGGACTTCTGATTTCGTCGGGGGGTCAGTGTTCACTGGTAGTTCTGCTTCCGTTGTTGGTATTGCTGGACGTGTTGTAGGTGGCGGACGATTTAGAAGTCTTTTGAAGTGTTCAACCCAGTGCTTTCTCTGTTCCACCTCTTTGGTGATTGACTTTCCATTGTCGTCCTTTATTGGCTTAATCTGTGTCGAACGTTTGCCCGAAAGGTTCCTAGTTGTTTGGTAGAGTGTGGCGAGGTCTCCTTTGCCTGCAGCTTGTTCTGCTTCGTTTGCCATGGTTTCATAATATTTTCTTTTGTCTTCCCTGGCACTTTTCTTCACTCTTTTGTTCAGTGTATTGTAGCTTGCATTCAGCTCCTGTTTTTGTTGCTCGTCAGTGCACTGGATAATCTTTTGCTTCACTGTCCTTCTCTCTTCTATTAGTTTCCAAGTGTCCGTAGTGAGCCACTGTTTGTCCTGTCTCTTTTTTCTGCCTAGAATTTCTATGCAGGTTTGGCTCCACACCGTTTTCAAGTTGTTCCAGTGCTTTTCAACGCCGACCTCTTCGCTAGTGTTGATTTGTGTCTCGGCTTTGTCCTTTATGCTTGCAATGAAGATGTCCTTTGTAGCCTGGTCCTTCAGCTTTTGAGTGTTGAACTTGGCTTGTGGTCTATCTGCAGCTCCTGATTCCCTGAAAGCTTTTAATTTGATTTGGATTGTCCCTTGTACGAGATAGTGGTCTGAGCCAACGTCTGCTCCTCTTCTTGCTTTTGTGTCCAGTAGGCTGCGCCTCCACTTCCTTGAGATTGAGATGAAGTCGATTTGGTTTTTGGTTTGCCCGTCTGGTGACACCCATGTAGCCTTGTGGATATCTTTGTGCTTGTATACACTGCCACCAATCACCAGTTCGTTGAAGGCGCAGAAGTCGGCGAAGAGTTCTCCGTTTTCATTCATTTCTCCTAGAGCTTCTCTACCCATGATGAGTTCCCTTCCCGTATTGTCTGGTCCCAGTTTGGCGTTCATGTCTCCCATTAGTATTTTCATGTCGCCAGCTGGAGTATTGTCCATTGTTGCCTGTAGTTGCCTGTAGAATTCTTCTTTCTTCTCGAGGTCTGCGTTGTTTGTGGGTGCATAACATTGTATGATTGACACTTTCCTTCCTTTGGAGTTGAACCTGGCGGTCATTATCCTGGACGAAATCGCCTCCCATTGTATCAGGGCTTTCGTTGCCGTTGGTGACATCATGATAGCCACGCCCTCGGTGTGCGTGTGGTTATCTTCTGGGTGACCGGAGTAGATCACTGACTCACCTGTTGACAATTTGGTGAGTCCACTCCCATTCCATCTGCTCTCACATATTCCCAGCACTTGTATTCCGTATCTTTTCATCTCGTTGGCGATCTGGGCAGCTTTCCCAGTCTCGTACATAGTTCGGACGTTCCATGTTCCTACACAGACTTTTTCTTTTGGTGCAAGGAGGTTCATATACTGAAGTTTCTTTAGCAATTTTGTTTACAGGGTGGGGTTGCTAGCCTCACGCCTGAGAAAAGAATGATTACATTAAGTAAAAGTTTAGAGAGAAGCAACTTTTTGGGTTGCTCCCCTCAAAATCAGAAAATAACGGACAAACAATGAGAACAACATCAACAAAGGAAACAGTTCACAGAAAAAAGGGCAAAAAGCGACGACAACTATACAATAAGACAACATGCAATATAGTTCAGTACAGTTAACTAAAATGATATCTTAACCATAAACTCACTGACTTGGAGCAACTTGAACATATAAATCCAACAATATATACAATTATAGATGTGTTTATGTTTAAAAATTCCACAAATCCAAACAGTGGGTTATGTGCTGGATAGTGTTCTTGAATCCTCTTGGACAGGGTGTGCGTCAAACGACCGGTGTACTTGGCTGGCTCCACAGTAGCAGGTGAACTGATACATGCACATAGAAGTGGTGAGATGCGAGATGTTGTCCTTGAGGCTTCTTTAGATCAGTGGGTGACTAGAGAACACTATTCTTAGCGTTTCTGCAAAGAATGTCCTCCTCAGAGATAATGTGATGCTTCTCTCCTTCACTCATCTAGCTGTTCATATTAATAAACAACTTCTTTTTAACAATTGTTTGTGACAACTCATCACCTTTGTTACTACGCTAATCTCATTAACACCTAATTTTCTGGACTGATTTTGTATCACGTAACTCCAAATACCAATCTTCACCTGTTTAGTTGAAATATCCGTAACCAATTGTATTTTAGTTCGACAAACTTGATGTACACATGCATACAAAATAACTCATATGTATTTGCTATTATTGTACAGCTAAGGTGGAAAATGCATTCGCCGCAGAAAAGAGACTCTTCGCTGAACTACGTGTTTGGTTTTCACTAATTCCCGGATGGGGATCATCCATGAATCAGCTTTCAATCGACACGCTAAACAAAGTCGGTTTTATAATCTACACCGAATTCAAAACGTCAAAGTAATATAAAACCACACTCATATTAATACTGATTGTACTACTGAACCGAAATAAATCAATGGTAATAAATTTAACTACATTTCACACATATCAAGGTATACTTATCGATGAGAATGGAAATGACAGGCCTCACAATATCGCCCGCAATGAATTTCTCGCCCTCTTGAAGCAAACAGAATGTCTACGAAAACAGTACACAAATTACGATTATACGAGTGAAAAGGTTTGTTGTTTTATGCCAAATAAAGTTATCAAATTCATCAAATTTGTCTTTGTTGTTTGTCTACGCTGTATGAACAACGAAAAATACGTGTCGGTTTTGTTTGGTTATTATTAGCAGAAGAAGCCTTAACACCTTTGGAAGTGATAATATAAGTGTAAAACGTAGGCACTGTGGTAGTAAGTTATTCCATATTAGTTTGTTTATTAGATGTATCGCACAGTGATGACACAGTATTACAGTTTAGTGGATGACACACTTTCGAACACAATTCATTATTGCTGTTCATAATCATTCCATCAATTAAAATCACACGATTTCGAAATTTGAATTTTATAGTATTCGTTGTTCTCTCCTATTTGTCGTCGTTGGGGTAGTAGAAGTTTCCAGATATTTGGGCAGACAGGTGTTCATTCATTCCTATTACACGTATTCTTTCTCAGTTGATTCGATAAACAAAGCTTCCGTTATCAATCTTTCCCTTCACCCTGCTCTTGAATTAGACTTTAAAACCTTCAGCTTATCCCATCCAGCCTATTATATGGTTGTGTTGTGCGTAATTGCATTCAGCGAGTGTTATAGCTGAACTATCCTCCAGATTTCTCATCTTATTCGAGTCAGCTAATCTAGGTTTTGTGGCTAGGTTTTTATGCTCCGCTAGTCTGACTGACTGATCCCTGCTCTACTACTTGGACCTACGTATTTCACCTGATAACCACTGCAGGCAGGGCATTAGATAAACTAAATTGTTTTGTTTGATTGGCTCCACAGGATTGATCCTTTAACCGACAAAGCTTGTTTCTAATTGAGTTTGTAGGTGATGTGAATGCCATCCACTTTTATTCCTACCTGCCTTGTTAAGTATTCTGTGTAAGGTTTCCGAGGTTCCTTCCTTCTTTGTATTGAATTACTACTGATGATTTAGATTCCTTGTTGTTGGTGTTGTCTTGTGCATTTTTGACATGCATTACTATTATTATTATTATTAACATTATTATTGTCATTATTATTACCATTATCCCTATCGCTACTATTATTGTTTATTTTATTTTCTGTGTTCATTTTCCGAATTTTTCAAATCCTCGTGAGTGTAGGGTGTACAAATTGGGAGAAGTTCTTCGGTATTTCAATTTCATCTTCTCTGTTGTCCACTTAACGAAAATAAATCTGTCTGTCTATATTACAGCTTTTTTCTTAGATAGCATTGCCTAACTATTATTCCACAGATATAACCAGGTTTCAGTGACCTTGTGACTGTTATACAATGACCGCTATGACTCATTTGGTTTAATAATTCTGCCCTCTTCTTTAAAACACGTGAATGATTCCATATTAGTTTATTAAATGTATCACACAATGAAGGTATACTTATCGATGAGAATGGAAATGACAGGCCTCACAATATCGCCCGCAATGAATTTCTCGCCCTCTTGAAGCAAACAGAATGTCTACGAAAACAGTACACAAATTACGATTATACGAGTGAAAAGGTTTGTTGTTTTATGCCAAATAAAGTTATCAAATTCATCAAATTTGTCTTTGTTGTTTGTCTACGCTGTATGAACAACGAAAAATACGTGTCGGTTTTGTTTGGTTATTATTAGCAGAAGAAGCCTTAACACCTTTGGAAGTGATAATATAAGTGTAAAACGTAGGCACTGTGGTAGTAAGTTATTCCATATTAGTTTGTTTATTAGATGTATCGCACAGTGATGACACAGTATTACAGATTAGTGGATGACACACTTTCGAACACAATTCATTATTGCTGTTCATAATCATTCCATCAATTAAAATCACACGATTTCGAAATTTGAATTTTATAGTATTCTTTGTTCTCTCCTATTTGTCGTCGTCGGGGTAATAGAATATTCCAGATATCTGGGTGGCGAGGTGATGAGTCATTCCTATTACATGTGTTCGCAGTTTATTCGATAAATGAAGATTCCGTTATCAATCTCTCCCTATAGCCTGCGGCATTACATTTTTAAACTGCCATCCTATCCCATCCTACTGTATGGTTGACAGTTTTAAAATGTAATGTCACAGGGTATAGGGAGAGATTGGTAACAGAAGCTTTGTTTATCGAATAAACTGCGAATACATGTAATAGGAATAATTCATCACCTCACCACCCAGATATCTGGAAAGTTCTCCTACCCTGCCGACGACAAATATGATAAGAAAATGAAAACCATAAAACTCAAGTTTCAAAGTCCTGTGATTATAATTGACGATATGATTATGAACAATAATGAATTGTGTTCGAAACTGTGTCATCCAGTAAACAGTAATACTGTTTCACTGTGTGATACATTTAATAAACAAAATAATATGGAATAACTTACTACCGCAGTGCCCAAGTTTTACAGATATATTAATGTGAATGATATCTACAGTCATCCGATTCATTGATTTCAAAGCGTAATATTTCAGAGGGATGATTTTGAAAAGTCTAAGCGAGCTTAATATTCACACATATATACACGTAATCTAATTCAAGGTACAGATTTCCTATGGAATTCTATGTTAATGCGAAGTACCTCCAAGCGTCATGACCTCAGATAAGCACATCTTAAGGTCAGTGGAACACAGTCAAATGTTCTCAGTTTGTTTGAATCTGAATAGTATGAAGTCTAGTCCTGGCAAACACCAACAACAACAACAGACAACAATCAGCCAGCACGAATGGGAGGAACCTGGAAGAAACAATCTCCTTTACCTACATATCTCGGAAGCATCGTTTCAACTACAGGCGGAACTGACGAAGATGTCAAAGCGAGGATCGGGGAAGCAAGATAAGCTTTCATTTCTCTCAAGTCTGTATGGAGGTCAACAGAACTCAGCATCAAAAATAAGATCCAAATTTTCAAATCACTGTACGGATCAGACACTTGCACTGCGCGTCATAAAGAGCATCTCAAACAAACTACACACATTCATCAACAGCAGTCTTCGCTCAATACTTCACTCAAGACCAGATGCTCGACCAGAAAACATCAAAACCAGGGATCTCTGGCAATCAGAGAATCAACAAACCAGAAACTGATTGTGCAACAAATAGGCAGGAAGAAATGGAGGTGGATTGGCTGGCCGTACTCTGAGAAAACAAACCATCAATTGACATCACTAGACAAGCAATGGCTTGCGTGGAACACGACTGAATGGGAAGCGGCGAGTTGGTCGTCATTGTGTGGGTGACTTGGAGAAAATCATGTGAAGAGGAGATGAAAGCATGTGGACAGACGTTAAGCCAGGTGAAAACTCTAGCAGAGATTCGAATGCAATGGAGACTTGCAGGTGAATCCCCATGTTCCTCTGTTAATTAAAGGAAATACTACTAATGAACTCTAGAATTCATTAAAAATATAGACTTAAATTACCCCTTCTTTGTATATTCAAAAGTGATGTTATTCTACGTATTCCACTTATCTGTAATGCATATTTCGATTTCATACATTTATTCCCCTTAATGAATTTGAACAATGCAAGAACTACAGTTTTAGCAGAATAAAATGGTACCATCTTTTATTTCGTTGCCTTCTCGTCATCTGCTTACATGGCAAATTGTTGTTGTAGATATATTTAATAATGTCTTTGCCATGTAAGCAGCTGACGAGAAGGCAACGAAATAAAAGATGGTACCATTTTATTCTGCTAAAACTGTAGTTCTTGCATTGTTCATATTTCGATTATTATCAGAGTGGAACAATTCCAGTTCTGGATGAAATTCTATCAGATAACGGAGGTCTGAGGATAGCATACCAGGTAAATGATGATATTCGTTTTGTAATGTCAGTATTTTATACGGTATGATAATGTCTCTCCTGATATCATTTACACTGACTGACTGTCCACATTTAGACCCTTTTTCACTTTTGTAACTAACAGACGGAGTTTATAATTTGAACTCCAGAAGGCAGAATTCGTGGACAGCTATTCTATATCAGTAGAAGGTTTGAGCATTGTGGATTAGATCAAATAAAGTATAATTATATTTCAATAGTTTACACACAATGATAATTTTTGTTATTGGTAATACTTCGAGAAAAATTACTGCCCGTGTTCACACATATTTATGCTTTGTACTCATATATATAGTTCATTATTTTTTTTGTTCAATCATGTTTTTTGTATTCAGAATTATGTTCCACGTTTATTCATGTGTTTGTATTTAGAATTATATTCCAAGTTGTTGATAGTTGTACTGAGTCACCCTTGTTACATGTAACCGGGGTGAATTTAATGAATATCGATTCCACGATGAGTCTTTCTTTCCATTTGTTCATGTTAGTTTTTATAATACACTCATTGTTCCAATCGATATTGTGGTTTTTGTCCCATACATGTGCAGCTATCGATGAATTTTGTTTTTTAAGATTCTTGTAAGCTTGTGTCCCTGTTGGTTGACCTTTAGTTAGCCGTTTATGTTCACTCACTCTTATTTCGAGTGATCTGGATGTCTGCCCCACATATTTAGTCGTACAGTCGGCACAAGATATTTCTTGTAAATCACATTGTTTTTATCCATCATTTTTATGGGATCTTTCAGTGGATTTATTTTATTTTTGATTAGATTCGTCGGTTTAAACGTTGTTCGAATGCCGATATATTTTAGGTTGCTCTGAAATGCCTCTGATGTACCATTTGTTTTATATGGTATTGTGCCTGATTTTTTGCATTCTTCCATCTTGTTATTCTCCGGTTTTACCCTCCTTTTTCTCTTTTTTATATTATCTTTTATAAATTCATTTCGGTAGTTGTTTTCGAGTAGCACTTTGAATAGGACTTTTATTTTTTTACACTGGTCCTCTGGTGTACTTGTTAGTCTACGTATTCTGTCTGCAAGCCCTTGTAATAATCCTCGTTTTACCATGAGTGGATTAGCTGAGTGATAATCAAGGAATCTTCCAGAGTGTGTGGTTTTTCTGAACAAAAAATCAGTGAACTATACATATATGAGTACAAAGCATAAATGTGTGTGAACAAAACAATTCCAACAGTTGGTGTGAACACGGGCAGTAATTTTGCTCGAAATATTACCAATAACAAAACTTATCATTGTGTGTAAACCATTGAAATATAATTATACTTTATTTGAGTTACTGTATAGTTGTGGTAAATGATCCAAATTATCTGCCTAACTGATAGAATTCAGTCTACACCGAAGAAAGGCGTAGACATGTCACACTAGTTACTAGTGTCCAATCAAAATTATCTACTTCGTTTGAAAATGGAGTATGCCTGTCAAGATTGCGTCGTTTCTCTGCAAGATTATTAGGCGGACAAATACATCGAAAAGTCAGGAATATCAAAGTCTGTGTCATACAGAGGACGAACACATCAGGTGTATCCTAAGAAATGCATTTTATTACCTCATCAATGAAGTCGTGACCAGTAGGGTGCAGCAGGTCGGGTATGAGTACAAATACTCGCCGAAGACATCGGCTAGTGGTCGCGCTTTGCCGTGAACTGGCAGAAGTTGGAATTCTTTGGCTGGCCATTGGATCGATTGCCAGTGACTTAACGGTTGATGAGTTCGCCTTGTAACCAGAAGGTCCAGGGTTCTAACCTCGGTGGGTACGCACTGCTGAAGAGTCTCACACTAGGACGAAACAGCTGTCCAGTACTCCTAGTTGTTTTCCAATGGTTCTATAACCAATCACATTATTGCCACACTAATGACTTCCATTGTTTTGGAATAAATAGGCGTCAGATATTAAACGCAAAGACACCGTTTTCGACCGAGTCGTCTAAATAGACTGGAAGACACAATTACTTGGTTTTATCACCAAATATTGATAGTTAATGAAGGCTTACATTTGGTTAGGAAAATTTATTCAAACAGGTCTTTCTGAAATTATAAACTTGAACTGTGAAGGGAGAAGATCACTTCGAATACACTGTAGGATTAGCAGAAGTATTCTACCGTGTTATGAAGTGTCCACAACCAAATTTGGATAATGCTTACAAGCAAAAACCGAAAAACTGGTCGAAGAAGCAGACAGTGAAGACAGGTCTCCAGGTGAACATAGAAAAGACGGAGGTTATGAAAATAACCAACCAACCAACAACAACGGCAACAGCAACATCCAGCACCAATCACCATCAACGGGGGGGGGAATTGAAAGAGCTTACTTCATTCACTTATCTAGGGAGCATTGTCTCAACTACGGGCCACAGGAACGGACGAGGATGCCGAATGGAGAATCAGGAAGGCGAGAAGTACACACACCAACATAAAACCAATCTGGAAATCTTCGTCAATCAGCCAGCATCAACAGCAAAATCCAGTCGGATTTTCAATACAAACGTCAAGTCAGTCAGTTCGTATACACGGAACGGATCAGAAACTTGGCGGGAGGGTCACAAAGAATATTTCCAACAGCCAACGGTCTTAGCTCTATACTGAAGATCAGATGGCCAGGCTGAAAGACAAGAAACTATGGGAACAAACAAACAAAACAAGAACCAATCGCCCAACAAGTAAGCAGGAGAAAGTGGAGGTGGATTTGACACTGGCTGAGGAGGCCGCTGGTGACATCGCGCGCGCGTCAGGCCATTGCTCGACTGGAACCAGGCCGAAAACGAAGCGACGAGTGGGACGTCAGTGCAAGGGTGACATGGTGGAGATTGTGCGGAGAGGAGTTGAAACTGTACTGACTAACGTGGATGGATGGAGGTGAAAAGTACAGCAGAAGTGGCAAGTTTAGACGTTCAGTTGAAGCCATGTGTTCCACTAGGAACTCAAAGGGGCAACAATAATATCATGAAATATCTCATCCAAGTATACATTGAGAGGTTCTGTCTTTTACTTATAACCAAGCATCCACTTAATCAGTCGACAACTTAGGATAATTAGGAGAGAGAATCAATGCTGTAATCACTTCCATTAACTTTTCCACACACTGTGTAGTATGATTATGCAGACTGTAGTAAGACGATTTCGAATCGGTAATAATTAAAACATCTAACACCGTGTACACTTGACGGCTTCATTTGTAGAATTAAGATACATTACTATATGCCATATTAAGTGGATCCCTGTGAGCAGATTACAAGAAGGTTTCCACGCTAGTGTTATATAAGATCAGATGAGGGAAACCATGGCAGTATTGCTATATTTTACAAATTGGCTATTGGGTTCCGTTCAAGTATCTGAATGTCCAATGGGTTAACCGCATAACTTGAATGTCCCTGGTTCGATCCTTGTCGGGGAAAGTCATGAACACATACTTCCAAAGAACCCAAACTAGTATGAAATAGCTGCGTAGTTCCCCACCACCTAGATCTTCATGTTCCTCTAACTCATACTGCATCGTAATCTCACCTAGAAATACAGTGTCTCATTAGACGTGATAAGTTTATTGAGAGAAACACTTCATACTACATTCACAATCTTGACATCAGAAATGCTTTAACTTCATGGAGGACAGAAATCGACTTCACTGGTGATCACAGAGATAATGTGAATGAAAAGTGTTGGGGCGCTATTATTGGAGTCAAAAAAGCTGACAAAAATCGTCTCGAAATTATATCGGAAACGGTTTGAACAGCATGTGTGTGTCCAAATGACCACCGGAAACACAAACTATTTCAAAACTGAATGAATCCATCGCCAGTGCCAGTTAGCCATCATACCGGCCAAGTCAACATTTGAACCCAGCTACTAGTATCTGCATTTTGATTTGTAAATATTTAGGCTCCAACTACTTAATGAAGTAAGTAATGAAGTAGTCGACTCTATTGAAACAAAACTGCTAAAAATTCACGGGTCGATATGTAGCCTCGGTTATTGACCTTTAATAATTTATTAATTCCCATTGTAGCATTAAGAACACAATATTCAGCAAAGAGACTCTTTTCATCAACGAATTTATTATTATCAAGCTGTACAATCTTATAGATATCGTTTTTTAAAGAAATTATAGTCGGTGAGGGAATTGGATCAAAGGTGTGAATACATGAAGTAATAATAATAGTAGTATGAAATGCAATTACAATATTTGTGATTATCATCATAGTTTAATATCAAGTGGCAAAATAATTAATGTCATATATAGGATAATATATAAGGTGTGGTGAGAGCTGGCTGTTAGTCAAAATTGGTGGACAGTAATTTACGTCAATGTTTATGTCCCCAATATTTGTCGTGAGAAAGATGAGAACAAAGACTTCGCGTAGGCGGATACAGTTAACATATAGATGATCTGATATTCAAGAAACAGTCACAAGGAGATGAAAGATTAACTTTCAGTGAGAAACAGCCACCAATCATAGGACTGTGTTTTTTGCTAAGAATACTCTATAATAATGTTCATGAAAATCTATAAATATGTGTTGATTTCCTTAGTAAACGATCTGTTGACTGGCCCTTGTCTTCTATTGTTACAATGGGATTAGTAGAAGAATATAAAATGTTACATGGTATGTATGTATGTGACATGGTGTGAAATTCGATGATAGAATTCAATATTTTAAAAACAAAAAATATAAAAATTAAAAATTTTGGGTTTCGAATGACAAATGAGTTAGAATAGTAATAATAATAGTGATAATCGTAGTAATAAGGGAAAGGTACGTAGAATAATTAAATAAACAAAATAAACAATTGACTATCCTTCTACGGCCAAGGCAGAAGTAGGGATTGCACATACTTCTTTTGTACACAAAAGTCTGGCCTAAACTCATGAATTTTCAAGGCCTCAGCTGTATTTAGAAGTCTGTAACGAGGAAAACGCCTCCAGCAATTTAGCATGGACTCGGTAGATGAACTTGAAATCATGGTCAGGGTTGACAAAGTGAAAGAAATCGATCAAGGGTTCTACCAAAATATGATTATAATCACAAATATTTTAATTGCATTTCATACTATTAATATTATTATTTCATGTATTCACACATTTGACCTAATTCCCTCACCGGATATAATTTCTTAAAAAAACGATATCTATAAGATTGTACAGCTTGATAATAATAAATTCGTTGATGAAAAGAGTCTCTTCGCTAAATATTGTATTCTTATTAACTTTTATCCATAATAATACCTCCTGTCATTTATTCATTTCAGACATTTCAAAGACTGACGAGAAATCTTACCAATGATGCAGATGAAAACACGAACTCATCTTCCACTTCGGAAAAATTGTTTTTCTACAAGTTTGCTGAGGTGTGTGTAGCTTGGTTTCGTTTGCTCTCATGTATTTTATTCCCAAACTAGTAGACCCCTGACTATAGTTTGCAGTGGAAAAAGCGAACTCATGAAAAGACACTTGGGTTTCGAGTGAAGAGAAGGCTTCGAAAGCACATCCCTATATATTACAATTTTGATTCTTTGAGATCATTTTCACTGTGATCCACTATTTGCCACCAAATCTGTCATTCCTTTCTATAGGGTCCAGTTCATTTCACCGTCAAATCAACTCCCAACTTGTCACTCCTTAGTCGTCTTCCACATGAGGTCCTACCTGGTGTGTGATTTCCTTCAGCAGCCTTCCGTGTGTATTTTCAGTCCATCTCTATTCTCATTTGCTTACTTATCGAACAATAAGTTATATTGGTTCATCCACTGTTTGCTACAGCTGTGTTTTGCCAATCCTTTCTTGCCAGCCACGTCTGATTTTCAGTATACAGCGAAGTAGCCAGGTGTTGATAGAAGCCTGCAGTAGCCTGTTGTAAATGGCTTCCGTATCCTGCACGCCATCTTTGAATCACAGAGCATCCCTGATTTGAGTAACATGAGTGCTGAAAATTCGAATCTTCTTGTTCGTTTTCCCGAATGCTGTGGATTCACACATTGATTTGCAGATGTTGGAAAGTAAAAAGTAGATAGATAGACTCTTGTTTGGTAATACTTGATACTAAGATGGAATACATGCTAAATATTTTGATCCACTATGTTAGTTGATGGACATTGGAATGGAACTGTGATACCAGACATGCATTCTGTGTTCACAGTAGCTTGGCTATGTAATTGAAACAATAAAAATTCGAGGCCTTAGATACGACAAATACTCGTGTATTTTGTCATTAGATGTGTATTGAAAAATTACTCAGGAGAATGGAAGAGGTAAGAATACAAATAACATAATAAACTGGGCTGTTAACAGGTTAGTCTTACTCAGGGAATTCACTTTAATGCCCCAAGCAGAATCTGATTTGTCATCTAGATGCCTCCTATTTAATAGGAAGAGATATGACCGTTGGACCGTTTCACTTGATGCATATTTCACTCTGGATTCACCAGCGCCACTTTACTCACAGGTGTAATTAAAACCATTCATTAAATTTCATACGGAGTACTGAAACATGCGAAAGTGTAACAAATACTCATTTGTTGATACCAATCATTTGCTAGGTCCTGAACTCTCCTTACAGAAGAAGTTAGTTCAGTCACTACACTTGCAATGGACGTAATCTATCTTATTACCCGACATGTATTATTATAATATTATTATGATTTCCTTTAATTCCTAGAGGAAAATAGGGCTTCAGCCAAACGTCTCCATTGCAGTCGAATCTCTGCTAGAGTTTTCACCTGGCTCAACGTCTATCCACATGCTTTCATCTCCTCTTCACATCACCTCCTACAAGTCACCCTCACACCCACAACCAACTCGCCCCTTCCCTTTCTGGTGAGTTCCACTCGAGCGATGGCTTGTCGTGTGATGTCACTAGGTGGTTTGTTTTCTCAGAGTATCGCCAGCCAATCCACCTCTATTTCTTCCAGCTTATTTGTTGCACAATCGGTTCCTGGTTTGTTGGTTCTTTGAATGCCAGAGATCTTTTCTGGCCAGACATCTGGTCTTGAGTACTTAGCGAAGACTGCTGTTGATGAAGGTGTGTAGTTTGTTTGAGGTGCAGTGTATGACGCGCTGGTCAAGTCTCTGATCCGTACAGTGAGCAGCACTGACTTCACACTGTAGTTGAAAATCCGTATCTTATTTTCATTTTCATGCTGAGTGTTGAGTGTTGACCTCCATACAGACTTGAGAGAAATGAGAGCTTGTCTTGATTTCACGATCCTCTCTGCTCTGATATCCTTATCATTTCCATCAGCCTGTAGTTGTAACGATGCTTCCCAGGTTGTTAGGTGAAGGAATTTGTTACTTTCAGGTTCCTCTTATTTATGCTGGCTGATTGTTGTCTGTTGTTGTTTCTGTTGGTGTTGACCAGGAATCTTCATCACCTATCTCAGTTTTCTCTATGTTTACTTGGAGTCATATCTTCTCTGGATGCTTCTTGTTCCAACTTGTTGCTTTTCACTTTCATATCTTCCAGTTTGAAGGAAATGAGACATATATATGTCATCAGCGAAGGCCAGATCCTCCAAGTTTCTTGTGAGGGTTCATTTTATGCCTTTTTGCTCGCTTTCCGCTCTCTGTCGCAATATCTGATCTACTGCAATCAGGAGAATCATTGGCGATAGAAGACAGCCAGCCAGCCTTGTCTTACTCCCGTCTTCACTTCAAAAGATTCCGTGTGTTTCCCGTTTTGGATTACTTGGCATGCAGCATTGTCATACAATTGTTGTATGAGATGTATAATTGTCGGCGGCACCACGTGGTAGCGAATTAGTCGCCAAATCACCTCTCGATCAATGCTGCACTGTCGAAGGCCCTTTCAAAGTTGATGAAGTTGGGATAGAGGGATGACTGCCATTCTAAACTCTGTTCAATGATGATACATAGTGTGACGATTTGATCAATACATGACGTGTTTCTCCTGAATCCACCTTGTTCAGGTTGAATTTTTTCATCCAGGGCTTGTTTGATTCTCAAGTCATCCAAATGCTTCCTGTTTATAGGAAGAGATATGACCGTTGGACCGTTTCACTTGATGCATATTTCAATTTGGATTCACCAGCGTCACTTTACTCACAGGTCTGAATTAACCGCCATTCATGAAATTTCATACGGAGTACTGAAACATGCGAAAGTGTAACAAATACTCACCTGTTGATACCGATTTAAACAATTCAAAGAAGAGTTTCATAAGAACCCGCCGTATACGTCTCTTAAAGAAATACAGAACACTTAGGAGTAGGTCACGTGCCGTGAATCCAGGAGATTTTACATTTGAGGAGACGCTCTTGTACAGTCAAATAAAGCTGTTGAACATACGGTATTTCGGAGCAGTGGTTCTACTGATCCTGTGGAATGTGCTTAACCTGTAATTCAGAAATTCAGCCAGCACATCTCCACTCCGAAGGCTATTCTGTGTGGGCATTCTAACGTCATTAGCTTAGTTGTGCTCACATTCCAAATTATAATTTCACCAGATTTTGGTAAAGAGAGATTGACGACTTTGAAATCAGTCGAGGCTGAAGAGAAGTAATCTTAACCAACTTAGTCGGTTGATTTGAACTTATTTCATAACCTGCATAAATCATCAGGCTATCTAATTTTCTACAGACGCGAATGTGTCAAATTTACTCAGCTGTTGCAGCTTATTTTAACCGTCTGTTTGCGTTCGTCAGGAACAGTCTGTCCTCATGTGTATTTTCGGATATCATTCAACATATCGACTGCTGCGTTTTGAAAGAAAAAAATACATCAGGGATTGAAGCAAGTGGTAGATCCGATATAACACGTAGATAGGAGCAGACTGATAACTCTTTACCATTTATAAACATGCTATTATTACTGTTACTATTATTAGCATGTCAATCGGTTCTCTAAACTATTTTATACACTGAATACGATGTGATTCTCTGAAGTTTCTACATTCATCTCTCTTGAACTTAGGGAGCAAATAATTCATCTTTTGTTGATCTAATTTTTTCCAGACATTTTGTGAAAAGTATACTGCAGAAGGAATAACTGAAGACATGAGTAACTCTGATCACGTGCTGGGGCATTACAGGTAAGTTTTTATTAGAAATGCGATGGTGTCTTCACATCATTCCTCGAGTTCATCAGTGATTCATAAGAGGGGGTGTGTGACTTGATTCGATTTTGATGTGATTGTATTCTCTCAGCTGGATAGTTAATTTGCGAAGCTTTCATCGCCCTACTAGGCAACAAACATCTTCAACGCATACTTCACTTCGTTGACGTGAGCTTTTAGATTTCTCCACAAGTTTATCAGTCATCTCTCCTGATGACCTTGGATGTGATTGGTTGTTTTGTGTGTTTTCACATCTTCTAGGTTACTTGTATTGTACTGAAACTGATTGTTTCTTTGACTTTAACTTTGACCCATTGTGTGTGAGGTTTCTTTCTTATCAGTTGATAAATTTTGTCCATCTCGATGTGTCTATGGTTTCATGATTCACTGGAATGCCAAGCTGCGAAAAATTCTCTAGCATTCTTGGTGTTTCCTCTGTCTAATATTTGAATGTTGGTTGTCCCAGTCGAATGGATGTCCGTGGTTGTCTGTATGCAGTGAGGCGATTTGAGTGATGGAGTGGATACCATGTCTTTTGACGGCTAGCTTACGTTTGTGTATACGAAGACGAAGGGGACGTCCACTTCGGCCAATGTAGTGTTTCCGCAGTTGTTACAATTTGTTTTTAGATGATGTTGGTTTAATCTCGTTGTTGATTCTTCCGGTTGACACAGAGCTAGCCAGCTGAGTGAAGTGACTTTGTCGGTTTGTGTGCGACGTCAGTTCACAAAGGTTTGAAAAGTATTGTAGTGATTTTTGAGATATCTTTTATATATGGTATGGCGATTTTCTTTGTTCTTTCCTTGAAGGGCTTTTGGTTTGATAGGATGGCTTGAGGGTAGATTTCGTTTGACGAAATTCCGTGGATATCCATTCTTTTGGAAGACGTCCATGAGATAGCTTTCTTCAACATTCCTTAAGGTGTGTGTGCTGCAATGAGTCCTGGCTGGCCTTCTTGAATAGTGTTTGTATGCAATTCCTTTTGTGTGTTATTGGATTGTTGCTGTTGTAATTCAGCGAGGATCTGGTCTGTGTGAGTTGATTTTCTGTAAACTTGAGTTTCTAATTTCCCTGTGGTTGTTCACTTGACTAAGACGTTTGAAAATGGGATTTTCTCCTCGGATTCCTCTTCTCTTGTGAATTTGATGTCGTTGAAGACGTTGTTTATTAAGTTGTGAGTTTTATCTAATTCGTTTCTTTTGATTATTACAAATGTGTCGTCGACGTAGCGTATCCAAATCTTGGGTTTGATCTTTGGTAGAATTATATTTTCGAGTCTTTGCATCACTGCATCTGCAATCAAACCTGATATTGGCGATCCCATGAGTGTTCTTTTGACTTGTTCATATATTTAGCCGTTGAATCGGGAGTATGTTGGTAGGCATAGGTTTATGCATTCCATACAGCTTGTGTGCTGCATTTTTGATTGTTGTAGGAGGGGTTCGTCGTTGCTGAGCAATTGTTTCATGGTCTCTTTTGCTAGCTTTTGTCCGATTGAGGTAAATAATGCTGTCACGTCGAAGGATACCATTATTTCTTGTTTATCTATTTGGATGCCTCTGATTTACTCCAGGAATTGAATAGTAGTCCTGATGGAGTGATCACAAGTTTCCTCTGGGTGTTCCAGTTCTCTGTATAATTCTTTGGATAAATTATATGTTGGAGTGATAGAATCGGTCGTAACGGGATATTTGGCTTGTGTATTTTGGGTCTTCCGTAGAATCGGAGTAGGACTGGTCCATTGGATTTCATTATCCATTGGTCTTGTTTTGTGATCTGTCCAGTTTTGGTGAGCTTGTTTAAGATCCTTTGACTGCGGTTGTCCAATGTTTGTATAGGATTTGTTGACAGTTGCTGATATACATCCTCGTCTTTGAGTAGTTCTTCGGCTTTCGTGATGTGTATTCTTCTCTGTCCATGACTACTGTTGTTCTTCCCTGATTTGGGTAATAAAATAAGCTGAAATTCAGATAAGACTGAACAAGGTAAAACGAATGCCTGAAAAATAATCCAGCGCTCACTGGCGACCGCTTCTCTATGAAAATTTACCTGAAAATCCAGTAAGTAGTGTTGGTCACCGGGGTCCACCAAGTCAGATAAGAAGACAAATACTCGCCGACGACACTGGCTACAGCACTGTTACAGCATACATATGGCTGAAGTTGCGAATAACGGGTCATTCCATCGGGTCCAAATGGACTGGTATTAGACGATTGAAAGAAATATAAAACGGAGTGAATACTATGCGTTTTGATGGATAGAAAATTTGAGTAGCCCTGTATCTTAAGCAGGCCGCCTTTATTGGAGGTTTCGATGAATTTAACACACAGTTAATTCTAACAACACCCTCTACAAGTTTCTACATCTTTAACCGTATTCGTCGATACATTAACCCACTGTTTCTTGCTTTTTTATTTATCAGAGTAGTCGGTGCCTTGTCGAACAGTGAAAACTTTGCAAGAGCATACAACTGTCCAGTGGGCTCACCAATGAATCCAAGTGAAAAGTGTCATGTATGGTGAATGACTTTGTGTTCATAGTTCTCAGTGAACGCATATATTCGTGTTTTTATCTGAATAGAAACTGAACTGTAATGCTGTCCTATTTTGAATAATTTTTTTGTCGAACTGTTGTTATCATAATATACTCATCTGAGTGAACTTGATTTATTTGATTCCCTTCTTTCACCTATGACATAATCGATTAACATTATGCTGGCTTTCAGAGAACTCACTAATTTTCTACTCTTCTATAATCAGTCTTCTTCCTATATTTCAAATTCTACCAAAATATGTCTCCAGTGACTTTATCACTTCTTAAGGTAACAGCCTCTACGGTTCATGAGGTTATTAATCATTTCATGTTGTCCATTTTAGGAGATGGCAAATATTCGTTCACTGTTATGACAGGTAGACGACACCATTACTGGAGAAGGTGTGGAAAGAGGGGAAGGTACCCGAGGATTGGAAGAAAGGCTACTTATTTAAACTACCAAAGAAAGGAGACTTAAATTAATGCAAGAACTGGCGCGGAATTCTGCTTCTGTCCATCAAAATCAAATAACTAAGTTTCACAATCCTGGAGAGTATCAAACACGCCAGCCTTTATGGGAAACTTCGAATGGAACAGGCTGGATTCAAGGGAAACAAGTCATGTATTGATCAAATTGCCACACTACGGATCATCATTGAACAGGACTTCAAATGGCAATCAGCTCTCAACCTCACTCAATTTCATCGACTTTGAAAGGGCGTTTGGCAGCGTCGATCGAGAGGTGATTTCAAAACTACTTCGCTATCACTAGAGGGTGCCGGCAACATATATACATCTCATCCAACAGTTGTACGATAATGCTGCAGGCCAGACGGGTGTAAGACAAGCTGGTTGACTACTATCGCCAATGATTTGCCTGATCGTAGTAGACTGGATGATGTAATAAACAGCGGACAGCGAGAAAACAGATATAAAGTGGATCCTCAAGAAAAACGTGAAGGATCTGGACTTCGCCGAAGCGGCATATGGCTGATTTCTCATAGAGTGGAAGATATGCAAGTGAAAAGCAACAAGTTGAAAGAAGAAGCATCGAAGATAGGACTTCACTTCAGGTGAACATAGAGAAAATAGAGGTAGGTGATGAAGATTCCTGGCCAACACCAACAGCAACAACAACAACAGACAATCAGTCAGCAGAGATGGGAGACACCTGAAAGAAACAACGTCATACACCTACCTTAGAAGCGTCGTCTCAAATACAGGAGGACGAGACTTATGAGGATATCAAAGTGAGTATCAAGAATGCAAAGCACTCTTTCATTTCTCTCAAGTCTGTGTAGAGGTCAACAGTCGGCACTCAGCATGAAAAATAAGATCCGGATTTTCAAATCCAATGTGAAGTAAGTCAGTGCTACTCACTGTATGGATCAGAGACTTGGCCAACGCGTCATAAAAAGAATCTCAAACAAACTACAGACCTTCATCACCAGCTGTCTTTGCTCAATACTTCGCTCAAGATCAGATGGTTGGTCAGAAAGGATCAGCAACAGAGATCCCTGGAAGCAAATGAGCCAAGAACCGACTGTACAACAAATAATCGGGAAGGAGTGGAGGTGAATTTGTCATACTCTGAGGAAACCATCAAGTGAAATCACACGTCAGGCCATCGCTCGAATGGAAGCGACGGGTTGGTAGTCAATGCAAGTGTGACTTGTGGGAGGTCATGTAAAGAGCAGAAGAAAGCATGTGGGCAGATCTGGAGCCAGGTGATTTCTCATCTCATAACAGCTGTGCCAGATATGGTATTGTGGAGTTTTTTACTTGGTAGGCCTAGCATATAGCCTCCTATAGCTATAGCTTCTAGTTCAAACAGATGAAATGTAAGGAGACAGCTGCGTATAGAGAGGATGCTCGGGGTCTGACAATATTGTATTCGCTAGTTTCTTACATGACATTATATATCTATCCACAATAGTATTAACCAGTTAGTTTGTTTAACGATATCCCACTTGCCCTACTAACAGCTTTTAGTGTCTGCCCTTCTCAGCAAAGCACAGTCTTTCTTAAGTAGTCCAGGAAAGATTAATGGGAGGCAGTAAAGAGGGATGGCTAGAATACAAGAATTTACAAACTGACAAAGCAAAGACTGCTTCATGCCAGACTGCCTAAATTTCCTAACGGAGAACGTTAAGCGAAACATCTTTCTAGTAACTAGCAAGATGTAGGAGGACCAGGAAAGATCGGTGGAAAAGCTCGGCCCAAAGTACTTGACATTAGATGTATTTTCTGTGCCGTCAATGAGAGTGGGGCCATGTGAGCTAACTAGTTGCTGTAGGTCACATTTACGTCTGAAAGTGAAATTGACTACCTGACACTTAGACGGATTTTGCTTAAGACCGTTTGAAGAGGACCACCGACTAATTTCCGACAGAAAGCTATTTAATTTGGAACAATCTGTCTGAGAGTTGACAGGCATAGAACTAGAGAGGTCATCGGCATACTTAACAAAAGTGGCTACGTCAGAACGACGCAAGTCATGTAAGAAAAACGAAAACAGAAAGGGAGAAAGAACAGCACCTTGAAGAACACCAGCTAAAGTAAGTGAGGTAGTGGAGGATTTTCCGTTGTAGACGGTGTACTGCTTTCTATCAGAAAAATAGGAATGCAACCACTTATTTGTCCAGCTCTCAGCCTGTGCTGCAGCAAGCTTACTTAGCAAGAGAAACCTGGGAACAGAGTCAAATGCAGATGTGTAATGGAGGAAGGCACAGCGAACGTATTTAGCGCCTTTATCTAAACTAGAGACTATGCTTTGGTGGAGGACAACAGCGGCATCTAACGTACACCTACTATGTTTATAGGCAAACTGGTTGGGGTCGTTGAAAGGCTTTAAAGAGGGTTCAAGATTAAGTAAAATAAGTAAGTCTTTCCATAACTTTCAAGAAAGAAGAGATAATAGCTATGGGTCTCAACTTAACATTACGTCCACTTGTAGATTCAGGCACTGGAACGATCTTGATATTTCCATGATTCAGGTATAATACTTTTGGATAACGATTCGTTGAAAATGTCAATTAGCGGGGAACACAAGATGTCGGCACACTTCTTAAGGATAACAGCAGGAACACCATCAGGACCGAAGGACTAAGTGGGCTTGAGAGATTGAAGACACTTGAGGACATCATTCGTGTTAAAGCATGAGAAGCAGTCATTATTTACACTATTTGAGTTCGGAGTCATAACATTTGCTGGGATACATATGAAGGATTCATTAAGCATGTTAACATCTACAGAAATATCATTCATCATTTGCTTACCACCTGTGATTTCCTTTAATAACTTCCACATATTAGATGGGGATTTACATGAAAGAAACATCTGGTTATAGAGAGCATTCAATCTTTGTAATTCAAGCTTAATCAAAGTGTTTCATTCTCTTAACACCAGATTTGTTTTTCATTTTGAACAACCTTTCTTTTTCACGGTGGAGCTTTTTGAGTTGAGAAGAGGAGAAGCGATCGAATTTTAAGAAGATTGTCTCTTTTGGACAACAAACATCAAGACAGAAATTAAGATAATGTGTTATGTTGGCAATTGTGTTATCAAAAGCTTGTTCAGTAAATAAATCCCAGTTTGTGTCTTTTAACATGGACCTCAGATTCAGTATGTTGTCATGGGAATAACATCTGTGTTGTGTTTTCTTTCGAAGGTGTGAGGAGGCCATTTTGTGCTGCTTTCCATATACTTTGGGCAATATTCGTATGATACAGTGATCTGAATGGAGTAGTGGGGCTCTTTTTCGAGCTTCAAATATTCCTGTGTCATTTGTAAACACAAGATCAAGAATGTTATCCATTCTAGTCAGGAAGTTGACAATGTTATCGTGTTCAAGTGAAATTAGGAAGCTGTGATCACTAGAATTGAAATCACCAGTAACTATAGACAAGGAATTTCCGAAGGAGGTGGCAGCAAAGGAGGTAAATTCATCTGGAAATAAAGATAATTCTGTAGAATTGCATCCAGGAGCAATATAAATGTTCGAGATGTAAATGTAGTTATATTTTGACAAATGTTCAGGTCGACACTTAACGGTGAGACAGTCAATATTGTCACTAGAGAATTTGAAACATACATTATTAGACGTACACCATTGTGAATTGATGAAGATGGCGACACCGCCAACGCGTTTCTTCCTGGAACTACACCGATCTTGTCTGAACAATTTGAAATCATTTAGATATACTAGATTGTCATCATATAGATCATGTGATCATGTTTCTCGAAGTGATATAATCCCAGTATTACGATATATAATGGAAGACATAAGCGATTGAAGGCAGTTAATTTTACCCGGCAGGCAGTGACAAATGGTACTCATAATTGCGGGAACAGTCATGAATTGAATAGGGGTATTTTTTAAATCTCTTTGCCAGTCGGCATGATGCCTTTTTTGTCTTTATTATGGAGTTGCAGATCAGTAGTTTTTAAGGATATTAAATAGTCACGAGAATAAATAATCCGATTTGAGGTCATATTTGAATACGATTCATTGATTAAAATATCAATCAATTAAAGGAAATACTAGTGATATTATTTAGACATACTAATGTGCCAATGTCAAGCCAATCAAACAACTGCCTACCAGGAGTTGTTGTTGTTGTTGTTAGTATTGTAATCGTCCACCCAATTATCCTAGATAGATATGAAGTGAACTATCTTAATCAAACCCTACTAGGATTGAAGACACATTATTGGTGATCTAACATTCACCCTTCTTAAACTTACGAGGAGCAGTTTAATATGACATGAGCTGTGCGTGGAATAGTTGCAGTTTCCTACGCTTACTTCACCAACTAACAATGTAAATAACTGAAGCTGATTTCAGAAACTTTGAAAGATTCAATATTGGTCTTTAGCACAGTAATTTGACACTCTTCGCGCTATTTTAATTTCGAATAATTTACCTGAAATGTTAAAAACAAATCATTTCAATGTACCAAAACCTTCAATAACAAAGCGTCTTGTCGACTGCAGACATGATACTGACACTGTCATGTGATTCACTGTTGTCAGAATACAAATACTCAAACATTCAGGAAAGAGCTTGCAACTGCAGAAGCTTGTGAACGATACTGAATTGAGAGTTTGAATATACTGGATGCTTACT